GCTGGATGGGGCGGTTCAGGGCTCTGCTTTTATCACCACGGCTTCGAGATGGGCAGAGGAGCCCCAGCCAGGTCTGTGTCATCCCCCAAAGTGCTGATACAACCCTTTCTCCTCCTGGGCTCCCAACTGGGGCGGTACCAACGCTGCTGGAAGGGGTGACCCAGCACAGGGCTGGGGTCACCCAGGGCCATGGGCACCCTCCTCCCACAGTCACCTCAGCACACTGGCCAAGCCCTCTCCAGGCTGGATTTACAGACAAGATTTTTCCCTTTCCAGTCAATCTTTCTCCCTTTTTTTTTTCTTTTTTTTCTTTTGCATACTTGAGGCCAAAAGCACCTGGCACCTCAGCTACTCAAGGGAAACCAGCACCCAAGACAACAGCCTTGTGCCAATCAACCACCAGCACCCCGGGGATGCCACAAACACCTCACACCAGGGGGTTTCCACCCTCTGCACGTCCCAAACTCTTCATTTCCCAGCTCGGAGCATGGGCTGTGCCTCGGGGCTGACGTCTCTCGTGGGAGGCGGCAGGGAGGGAAACCCTCGCCCTGTTGAGGTTCTCAAAAGTATGAAAGCAAAAAAAAAGGCAGTTCTTGGAAACAACTCATCGCTGTGGGAGGTGAGAAGCCTTTCCACGCACCAGCTACGTGCGGTGCGAGGGGACGGCCGGAGCCTTTCGGGGCAAGAAACCTTCGGGGAGGGAAAAGAGACCACAGAGGGTCAGGATGGGGCCCTGCCAGAAAACCCCTGCAGGGACAGCATGGTGGCAGAGGGGTAGGAAGTGCTCTTGCCACAAGGTCCCTCCTCCTGGTCCCAGCCAGCAGATGTTGCAGGATGGGGACACGTTCCTGTCACTTATTGTGGTGGCACCGAGCAGGGAAATGACTGAGAGAGCCAAATCTCTGATGCAAACCCCAGAAATGAATGGGGCAGGAGACACCAACAACCTGCTGCTGTGATGCTGTGGCTGAGCAGGCAACAGGGAGGGGACACAGGGACCCTGTGGGGGATCAAACCCTCTTGGTCTCCCCCTCCTCCTCAACACGGTGACCAGGGCAGCAGGGATGGGGTGGAAACCAGAACCCCTTTAAGGGCAAAGGAGATTTAGAAAGGGGGGAGAGAGGTTAAAGACTGAATGGTAGCAGGGGAAAAAAAAATAAAAATCAAAGGGGGGAAAAAGCATTTAGAGGGGAAAAAAGCCTTTGCACAAGAGTTCCCAGGAGATGGGCAGAAAAGGGGCTGGAGCTGCAAGGGATAGCTGGGAGGAGGGGAGGAAAAGTGACAGCAGAGGAGGTCAGAGTGGTGGGAAGGAAAGGAAAGGAAAAAGGAAGGGAAAGGGAAGGCAGCCAGCAGGTGGGAGTGATGGGGGAGGCCCTGGAGATGCTCCCGTTTACCCAGGAACAGACTAAACATCCCTGTATAGCTTCCAGCTATTCATTTTTCCATGTTCTGCCTGTCGTGGATTATTTTGCAAGCAGCTGTGGAAGCGACAGGGCTTTGCACCAGGGCTGCAGCTCTCCAGAGCCAGGCTCTTGCTAAACACAGAGCTGCAGAGAGCAAGGGGGGAAAAAAGAAGGAAATTCCACAGGAAGTTCAAATATTTTATTACTTCCTGTTTGTACAAAGTATGTCAACACTTGGCACCCGCTGTGCTATTTGTTTAGAGCTAAGGTGCCAACTTGACAGAATGTCCTTTTTTTCCCCCTCCAGATCTAACCCAGAAAGAGCCTGAGCGCAAGGAAGAAAGATCTTGGAGACTGTGGGATGGCTTGGAGGGGATGCTCAGCCAAAGCCACCACTGTTATCAGCTCCACGCTGGCTGTGGATGCCTCAAAGGAGCAACTTCAACTCCAGGGTCCAGCTCTCCTGGTCCCTCCCATTGCAGCTTCACCCCCAGCCCCACACGGGGCCCTGCCTGTCCCCCACTCCCCTGCGGGGTTTCTCACCCATCTCAACCCCATTCCAAACTCCTCAGAAGTTTTTTTCTGGGCACAGCTTGAGTTAAAAGGCTCGCTCAAGGGCTGAGATGAAGCGATGGGACAGGGGTGGAAGATGAATGGGATGCTCGGAGCCGGGGCGTGGAGCTCAGCCGCGTTCCTGGCCCACAAAACCCCCACGAGAACGTTGGCTGGAGGGATCTCGCTGCGTCTGAGGAGACGATGCCCAGGGCTTTCCCAGGATACCAAGACAAATGGCCAATTCTTTGCACATTAAGGGTGCTTTCTGCCTGCCCCACCAGCCCCACATCCAGCCTCCAGCCCCGGCCAGCGCTGATCCCGCATGACAGGAGCCGACACACACCACGTCCCACTTGTTTGCAGCCAAGAAAGGGAATAAAACCCGGCATTTTTATGCACACACACACATAAAAATATATCTATGCACATATGTATGTTAAAAAATGTATATATAATATATACACACATAAAGTTTGCAATTCCTTCTGCCAGCTCTCTCCAAACAAGAGAGAGAGGCTCAAGCCACGGCGTTTGGCCAAAGGTGGGGATTTACCAGGGCTGCACCAGCTCCAAATGCCACCTGGGGAGCCAGGTGGGTGCTGGCACACGGGGGTGCTGTGCCAGAGAGCCACCCAGTGGCAGGTGAACCAGGGAAACCACGCTGGATTTCCAGGAGCGAGCCCGGATTGTTTTACAGCTAGTGATTTCCACAGCACAAGACTGCGGGGAGGGAAGGGCAAGGGCAATATTTAAATATATTTTTTTTTAAATTTCGTGTTCATCAGAAGCTGCAAACTGAAGTGTGGCCAAAACAAAAAAAAAAATTTTATTATTATTTTTTATTCCAGAACAAGACACCGGATTTTTATCAGTGATGAATTTAAGCCCCAGGGTCAAACTGGGAGTCAAAATATGACCTTTACTGCCAACAAATCTAGGATCATCGTAAACAAACTGCCAAAAAACCCCACAACTTGGGCCTAAACTTCTTCAATCATCAATTTATGGACTGCAGGGTGTGTGTGGGGGGGTGGTGCAGGAATGGGGGAGAGATCAACCTTTTGGGGTCCACACAAGACAAGGGCACAAGCAGCAAATAAACACCATGCAGATCTCCTTAAGGAGCCAGCACTTCCAGCACGTTTTCAGGTCCACAAATCATTTAAAAAAAAAAAAAAAAAGGGTAAAAGCAGCAAGCTGCTGACCTTGCACCTGGATCAGCGTCCCAGGGAGGGCATCCCTTGGGCACAAGAAGCCAGAGCCAGGACAAGCCTCTCCATCCTCAGCTTTTGCCAAACCAAGGCACTGCCCCAGGATGAAGAAGCATGGGGTGAGCGTGCCCTCGGCTCAGTTTCCCCCCCAAGCTCCCTGCCTGGCTGTGGAGCCACCGCCTCCATATCAGAAAATTTAAATTAAAGCTGGGGAGCGCTGGGGAGGGATGTTGAAATTCAGGAGGGGCGGGTGTGATTCACAGGGGTTTGGCGAGCCCTGGCTATCGGTGAAGTCAAACCAAACGCTAAGAGTAGTAACTATCTCACCTTGTATTATTATTTATGTATTCCTGATGATGATAATGATGATTATTATTATTATTATTAGAAAGGCGATCTGATGCAGCTGATAAGGGGCTGAGCCAGGAGTCAGGAGACCTGGTTTCTATTCCTGACCTGGAATGGTTGTGAAATTCCCTGCCCAGCCCCTCGCTGAGCCCAAGCTTAACCCACCACGACCCACACTGGTGCTTATGGCTGCAGACCCACACCAGGGACCTGCCTTGTGTTGCTGGCTTAAAAAAAAACAACAAAACAACCCAAAAGTGAATTCTGGCTTCATAAATCCAGCCAGCAGCTCGACGGGCTCCCGTAAAGCCTCTCGCGCTCCGAAATAAAAGCGAAGGGGGGAGAAAACCCAACAAGCCCCGATGCAAATCAACCCCCCTCGCCGAGGTAACGGCCTCCACCTGGCCTGACATCAAGGGGCACCGATGGGCCCAACGACAGCATCAACAGAAAATGTTTTCTGAGGCGTATTTAGAAGGATCAAACCGTTTCCCTTCAATGTGGGCACTGAGAGCTTCACACGCAAAGGGAACAAACTCGGCTTTATAGTCCCCGGGGTGGTGCTGAGCGAGCAGGAAGGCGAAGCCGGAGCTAGGAGCCGGAGATGAAGCCCCCAAGGAGGAGATCCCACCACGCAGGGGGTCCCACAGAGCAAACAGTGCTGATGGCAAGAGGAAACTCCTCCAGCCAACAGCTCCGGAGTGTTTCCCCGCGCTCCTCGCATCACTGGAACCGCCGAGGTGAGCTCAAAGCAGCCCGACGCCGAAAACCAACCCGGTGAGGGCGACTCACAGAGCCTCCCTCAACCACCAGGCACCATCCTGCGCCCGGGAGAGCCTCCCCCACCAAAACAGAGACGCTTCTGCGGTCGCATCGTGCCTTTGGTTTTCTCCAGCAGCTCAGCCCCCGGCCGCCGGCGCTGCCAGCCCGAGCCTTTGACGGCCCGAAAGCGAAACCACCGCGAACCAAAGGGGAAGGTGCTCTCTGACACACAGGCAAATACAAGCTCAGCACGCAGGGAACCTGCGACCATTTTTAGTTTAAAACCCAGCCATCAGCCAGTGAAGCTGAGCAAGGCACCTCTGGCTCCATAACCGCCCCCCAGCGCACCCTGCGCCAGGTTGGAGCCCTTCGTGTTTTTGTCGCCGGAGTTCAGAGCATTTTCCCAACATCCCAGCCCTGGGCCATAAAACTATCCCTCCAAATGGGTTATGGAGCACAGTGAGGAGCTATAAAACCACCCCTCCAAGATGGGATATGGAGCAGAGAGAGAGAGCAAGAGGCTCTGCTGTGCCGAGGAAGTCCAAGCAGCCAAGCCGTGCCCGCTGCTTCGGGCTCACTTGGCCGCACCAACACTCTCCTTAGCTCCATGTGCTGCCCCAGCTGGCTCTGTGTCCTGCAGCCTTTGGCCACGGAGAACTCAGGCCCCTGCATCCCCCCTCCCCACGCTCCTCAGTGCTGCCAAACAAAACACATCACTTACTGCGTGGCTCCCGGGGTCCATCTACGGTCACTTTAATGGCTCGGTGATAGGTGGCGACTTGGGTGGGGTTGGTGAACACAGTGATGGTCAGGGTGAAGCTCTTTCCTAAGGAGGGTAGTGGGGAAGGAAAAAAAAAAAACACAGAAACAACAGGAGAAATGAGGATATTCACATGGGTTCAGCTCTTGAGGGAGGGGGGGAAGAGAAAGACTCCTGTTGGAGCAGGCTCAGACACAAATATCCACATCCCCCGAACTCCAACACACACATCAGTTAATTTTATGAGACGTTATTGCCGAGGCACAAAGCTCAGCCTGCTCCCGCTGGGGCTCAGCTGGCTGCAGCAGGGAGAGGCTTGGACCCGGTTCAGAGCGGGAGCCAGGACCTTCCTGGATGGAAAAGTCACTCGTCCCCACCTCCCCTGCCCTGTCCCCATATCGACCCCTCCACCCACAGCAGCTTCCTGGTGCTTCCTTCCCCGCTCAGATGCTTCCCCTTTTCCTGTGGGAATCCAGCCCTGAAACACAGTGCTGGATGTAGGATCCCCTCCCTGAAGGGGTCCTGGTATCCATGGGATGCTCCTGCGGGAACAAGCTGGTGAGGTGGCATCAGTCTGCAGGGGAATCCACGGCCTTGGCCCTATGGATGCACCTCTGCAGGGATGTTTGGATGGGAGCTGAGCTAGACCTTGGCCACATGGACACCCATGGCCCAGAAGTGGCCCAAAAATAGGAAGCTACAAAATCAGAACTGAATCTGGCCAGTTTTGGCCACTAGCTTTGGCCACCAGACAGGCAGCCCTGCTGGCTGTGGGGACTGTCCCCCTCTCCCAGCAGGAACCTGCTGCTTTGGCATCCTCATCCCAGCCCCTCTCCGTGCCTGACTGTGGTGCTGTCTCCCACTGGATATCCAGCCTGTGGGGAGGCTGTGGGAGAGTGGAGTTCTCTGCAGGAAGGGCCTCTGCTCTCCTGCAACCTCCCCAGATTCAGGAATCGCTGGGGTAAAGAGAGAGGCTGCACAAACCACTCTAAACAACCTCCCAAGAGCAATCCCTGTGGCATTACAAAAGTATCAGGTATTTCAGAAGCCTAAACCCCAGCAGGGTATAAAGTATAAACCTCCATGCAATGGATTTCTGCTCCTCCAGCCTTTGCTCCACAAATAAATACGGTAGGAATCCACCTCCTTTCCCTGTTCCCCTGATGGAGAACAAGGGGTTTTCAGATCCCGACCATCATCTATCTACAGAGCTGAACCTGAGAATACCCCTAACCAAACAAACCAGCATTTATACAGCTAGAAGGAAGAAAAAAAAAAAAAAAAAAGAGTAAACTGAAAAAAATTTGCAATTATCTCCCCTGGAGAACATCCTGCAATTATCCTAGGTGGGAGAGTTCCTTTGTGGGAGCACAGAAGAGGGGGGGAACGCTGGCTTTAAAGCCGACGGCAAGCACCGGTCCACGCCTCACCTCAGCTCTCAAACCAGCACTAACCAATGCACAAACCTTCAGCTCACTTTCTGCACCAAAAAGAGCATTTAGGAGAGTTAAAAAAATTAAAAGAAAAAAATATATATAATGATATAATTTTAATCCCCAGGGATACGGTCATGCTGCCAACCTGCACGGACGAGCCGAGCTGCCCGCGGAGCACGGAGGCTCCTGGTGCCTGCACGGCCGCGTCAAAAACAACCAGCACCGAGGATCTGTTGGCAAAGCACCGGCAGAACCAGAGTGCAGGACGAGGGGGGACGAGGAGGAATCACTTGGGAAATCCTGCAGGAGGACAGGGAAGGGTTTGCAGGCAGCGCGTGGGCAAATCCGGCCGGTGAGACGCGAAACACCCCAGAGCTGAGCCCGGCAGCTCCCTGCACAGCTCCCTACTGCAGCTGCTTTATTTCATTTAGTATTATTATTATCATTATTATTATAATTTTAAATTTTTTATTCTACATGGGAAATAACCTCCCTGCTTTTCAGGGAGGACGGAGTCAGCCAGAGCCAGTCTTGCGTCTCTTCACCAGCTCTCAGAAACCCTCCCATGAATCGAAAATGACAATTGTTACTTAGCATCATTTTTACTCATTTCCCGCCTTCTCAGGAAGCCAGGCTGAGGTTACTCCTTCCCACCGTGCCCCAGCTTTGTTGGCTAGGGCTGGATCCCAGCTCCTGAGTGGGTTTGGGAGCACCCACGGCTCCGTGGGATGCTCCGGGGGATATTCCAGCAGGGAGAGCAGGCGGGAGGTGCACAGGGATTGCAGCACTGCACTGGCCTCGGCTTTCCTTTTATACAGCCTGAGCAGAAAATGGTTGATTTACTTCTTTTAGAGCAAAGCATAAAATCTGGTAAACTGGTCTTTCTCCCCACTTTGTCATGGAGATGGGAATTCGGGGTTTTTTGGAGGGTTTAGGACCGGTTCATCCCAGCTCACAGTGCCGGGGAATAATCCCAGACACGTTAACACTAAAAATACCCAATTCTGAACCGTTTCAAGCCGTGTTTTCAAAACAGGAGCCTGGCTGCTGCTGGTTTTCCAGGCTCCTGCAGCTCAGGCACACAGACAGGCTGCATGGGGTGTGTTTACGGGTGCCCACGTCCTCCCCTGGGATTTACACAAACATTTGTACACCCGCCGCAGCAAAACGTTCTGTGGCGAATCCAGATTTCTGCCAGAATAAATGAAAGCAGCACCGGGGCTGTCAGAGGCTGAGCCAAGCAAGGGAAACCAGAGCGTGACACCAAGAATAAAAAACTCAACAGGGACGAATTTTCACTCTAAGTTGGTTTGAAAGAGCCCCGTGCCGGGAAAGCGCGGCTGGACACGGGGAGCTGAATCCACGCTGCGAGAAAACCCCACTGTGCCGCTTTCACACCAGCCCCAGGGAGCCCTGACGGGGTTGTTTCCCTGTGAATGTTACAAAGCCTCATCCCACAAGAATACGTAAAAAGAAAAAATAAATTAAAATAATAATAAGCACTTGAGTTCCACCCGTTAGAGGCAGCGGAGGTGTTTCCACTGCTGTAATGAGCGTTCGTCAGGACTCTGCCTGAGGAAGGAGATTATTCACCCAAGGGCTTTCTGAGACTGAACTACTGTTAATTCAGAGCTTGGGAGTGCAGAGGAAGCAAGTTAATAATGAATTCAAGAGTCAAGCTGAGATTGGGTTGCATTCGGTTTGGAAATTTGTGCAGGGATGAAAAAAAAAAAATACAAAAAGCCCAACCAGAAAGAAAAGAGCCTAAGAGAATAATTGATTACAGAAATGAAAGCTTAATTCATAAAAGAAAAACATTTTCCATCCATCAACCTGCAACCAGTTAAGTGGAGAGTTTTAAAGAAACTGCAACATGGAGAAGGAGCCAACAGGAAAAAGGAAATGTATGAAAGAATGTAAACTATTCAAGTTTCATAAAGAGGAACAAGTAAACAGCTATTACATGCAAATAATTCCTAACATCACTGCTTTTAATTAATGCAAAGAAGTCAAAATATATCTGGCACTGTGTGTATACATTTGAAGCCTTTGAGAAAATGCTGCCATATGGCCATTAAAATATAGTGTTCTTATTTTGGTTTAAATGAAGAATTAAGTGCCTCGGTCCTGCAGCATTCATTGGTGACGAAACGCTGAAATTCTATTTACACCCTCTGAAATTCAGGCACAGGGAGGGATGCACGGAGGGAGGGCAGGCAGGGCTCAGTGTTTAATATTTCCAGGGGATTTGTTTCCCTCTGCTGCGATGGCACAGCCTGGTTCGTTCCGAAAAACCCAGAAAGCTAAATTTCCGTCCTGCTGAAAACGTGCAAACCCCCCCACCCAAAGCAACCCCAGCTCCCCGTGGAGCAGAGCCCGCCGTACCCCTCACCCGCTGCCAGCCCGTCAGGCCGAGCTCTGGGTTATTTTTAAACACTCGATTTTCGCTATTTAAAAACGAGCCGCCAGGTGGGTTTTGCCCCTGAGCACATTTCCCTGTGCAGGGGAGGCACCGAGCACACATCGCCGCCTCCTGCATCCTGCTGAGGAGAGAAACCGGGGAGGATTTGGGCTCGGGCTGCCTTGGTTTTATTTATACATTGATCTATTAATATTTATATATATTTAGAAGTGTGTGTATTTTAATTTTTTTTTTTTTACCCTGCATCGCCCATAGCCGATCCCCCTCGACAGAGGAGAACTCCCGGGAGGAGCGAGGCAGAGCTGCCGGTGGGGCTGGGGCTGCTCCCGCATCCCTCCCGCATCCTTCCTGCATCCCTCCCATCGCTCGGGAACCACTTTGGGGCTGAGGGGATTCTCCTGCCTAGCCCGCGACAACGAAACCACCGTTAAAACCGAAATAAACTACGAAATAAAAGGAAATAATAAAATAAAGGTATAAAATAAAAATTTAAATAAAATAAAAATAAGAAAATAAGAAAAAAAATATTTTTTCTTTCTCATTTCCTTTTTTCTTTTTTTTTTTTTCCTCTAAAAAGCCAAATAAAAAGGCCAACCATTTCCCGGCCGGTACCTACCCCTGCCGCTTCTCCCAACAAATCTGAGGTCGTTAAATCTTGCTACTTGGTTTTTCATCACGGCGGAGGCGTTGCGCAGCTCCGCCGAGTAATTTTCGTCGTTCCCCGCCATCACCGTCACCACGGTCCCATCGGGAACATCTCCGAGGGCTACGACCTAGGGCAGGGCCAGAGGATTTTAGGCTAAAATTAACCTAGAGCGAAGTCAACCTGCCCTAAGGTCCCCCCCTCTAAATCCCCGCAAAAAAATAACCCAAAGCAAAACCAAAAGCAACCCGAGCCCACGAGGAAGGCTGAAAAATCGGAGGGGGAAGGGGAAAACGAGCTTAAAAAAGGGTTAAAAGCAGAAAGGGGTTCCGCGGGGAAGGGGCGAAGGGGGGGGTCAGGCCCTGTCGGAGGGGTTTGTGGTTTTATTTTGTTGGATTCGGGGGAACAAAAAATAAAGCGCTGCCGAGCGCGGGGCTGCCCCGACCGAGGCCCCGGAGCTCCGCGGCCGGCCCGGGGAGGCGGCGGGAACCGGCCCGGCTGGCGGAGAAGCGTCCCCCCTGCCCGGGGAGCAGCGCCCGGAGCTGCCGGTGCCGGGACGGCCGGGGGGGAAATGCGGTTTAGATCCCCCCTCACCCCCGCCGGGCTCCCCGGGACTCCGCTGCCGTCCTGCCCGGCTCCTCTGGTCGTTCCTCTTGCAGGTTTTCGGCTCCCCCCGGCCAGTCCCGTTCCCCCCCGGGCGCAGAGGGGGATGCTCGGCCCGGGGGTGCCTCATCGGGTCGCCCCGTCCCGCGAACGGGAGAGCCCGGGCAGCGCAAGCCCGTGCCGGGGCTTCGGCTCTTCGCTTTTCTCTCTCTCTTTCTTTTTTTTTTTTTTTTTTTTTTTTGGTAGATTAGATCTCCCTTCTCTGCCTCGCTCTCCCTCTCCCAGGAAAGTAATTAACCTCCGTCTCATTAAACTTCAAAGTTGCCTGAGAGCTCCTAACTGTACGGAATATCTAAGATGCTGTGACCGCGGGGCAATGCGGAGACTTGATTAAAAATAATAAACCGGGCTATTTGATTAAAAATAATAACCCGCGCTCCCTCGGCGGTGATGTCAGGAGCGATTTTTAAGCGAAAGGGAGCGGGAGGGAAAAAGGGGGCGAGCGGGTCGCAAGCCTGGAGCCGTCGGGGCTCTCCGGAGCTTTCCCCCGACTTACCTTGAAGGCGACGGGCAGCGTCTTGTTGCACCTCCAGTGGGACGGCAGCACGGAGCACAAGAAGTTGGGGCTGTCGGTGCGCACCAGCTCTCCGGCGTGGTCGGCCAGTACATCCACGACGGAGCGGACCTCGGGCCGAGCGCGGGCGCCCGGCGCGGGGGCCCCCAGCGCCCCGCTGTTCTCTCCCATCTTACCGCAGGGGAAGGCCGTGGAGGGGGGTGTGAAGCGCCTGCTGGTGCTCGGGTCTACGGGAATACGCATCACAACGGCGGGCGTCAGGGAGCCGCCGCGGCCCGGGGGGGACGACGAGGAGGAGGGGTCCGGCTGCGGCGGGGCAGCGGCGGGGGCAGCGGCGGCAGAGCCCCGCGCTGCCTCGCTCCGTGCCGGCACACCGCCGTCCTCGGAGAGGGCGGAGAGCGGTGCGGGCTCTGTCGGCTCCCGCGCGGCGCCGGGGCTCGTCCCCGGTGGGTTGGCTGCGGTGGGTGCCGCCCGGAGCCCCGGCACAGCCTCGTCCCGCACCCCGCTCCCGAAGTTGCCGCCGCGCCGCCCGGTACCGTATTTACTGCCGGCGCCGCGGGTGGGCGGGACGCGCCCTGATTGACGGGGCGCCCCGCCAATGGGAGACCGGCGGGACACACCTGGCCCCGCCCACCACCAGGATCCCGCGGGGGTAGGGGCGTGGTCGTCGCGAAAGGGGCGTGGTTAGCGATGAAAACAGGCGTGGCCTCCATGGAAAGAGGCGTGGCCGCGGGCAGGACACGCCCCCCGCACGTCGGGGCCCCGGTGGGGTCCGGCGGCCGCCGGGGGAGGTTTTGGGGTGCGGCGGGGCCGGTTTGGGGCCGCAGCCGCGGCAGAGTGGAGCGGCTGCAGATCCAGCACGTCCCCCGGCCGCCCAGCGCTCCCGCGGCTCCTGCGTGGGCTCGGCCGTGGCGGGACGGGAGGAGCCGCCGAGGACCGCCGGCGACCACCGGCGGAGGATGTTCGCCCCATGGCCTGCGCTGAAAACCGCGTCTCCCCAACCTCTGCCCGTCGCCCTCCCCAAAATTGAGAGCCGCCTCGACCTCCGGCTGTCCCGCGGCGCCCGCAGCGCCCGCGGCGGCTCCCCCGGGGCTGCGGCTGCGGGCAGGGCCGGCTGCTCCGGCCGGAATCGTTGGCGAGAAAATTCGCGGCGAAGCCACCGGTGCTGCGGGAACACAACGAAGGTGGCAGCCCGAAACCACCGGGGCGGAGGTGGAGGTTCCTCTGCCCGTCCTGCCCGGCTGTTCCCCGGGGTTGAGCTCAGTCCGATGGTGTTTGGGCACCGGGACGGCCCGTCGGGCCGCAGCGTTCCGGGCTCCTCGCTGCTGCACGGTGCAAAACGCAAATTTCCTTAAAAACAAACCAAAATAAACCCCAACACCAAAAAACAACCCCTCTTTTTCCAGAACTCCCTCCGCGAAGTAATGAACCGTTTTCCCCGGCAAGCCGCGGTGGCCGGAGGAGCGAGCCCGGGCCGGGCTCAGCAAGACCCAGAAAAACCCGGTGTTTCTCCAAACGAAGAAGAGAAAAAATATATAATATGTACATATATAGATAGATATAAATTAAATTATGAGGAGCGGCGGTTCCCGCGTCTCAGCTCCCCTTTACACCGGGACACCCCCGCGATCCGCGCCGGGCGAACCGGGGCCGTCGAGCCGCCCCCGGGCACAGCTCCGAGCCCAGCCAGCCCCGCGTGTCCCCCCGCCGTTACCGGCGCTCCAATTCTTCCCTTTTTAGGTGAAAGTTTAGTTCTATTTTACGCCCCCCGTTCAGCAGCGCGGGGTGACCCGCAGAAACCCCGGAGCAGGGGGCAGAGCTGAGGGCGGGGCCGGGGTTTGCACTTCCCATCCCGGTTGCCCCCCCGGTGCCCCCGAGGTGGGGGGCACGGAGGGATGAACGGGGCGGGAGGGGGACCCAGGGAACGTGCGGGGCAGCGCTGCAGTGCGGCGGCGGGGCCGCTGGTTGGCGCCGGGGCTCCGCGTCGGGGCGGGACGGGAAGGGACGGGATGGGATGGGACGTGATGGGACGGGATGGGATGGGACGGGATGCTGACAGCCCCCGGCTGTCATTCCCTACCGTCACTGATTTGTCCAGTGGCTGAATCACAGCCCTGCCCTCCACAAATTTCTCTAATTCCTTTTTATACTGGGAGCAACCTGTTGGAGCGGGCACTGAATAAAACACCTCGATTCTTCAAAGCACTATCCAAATGCTTCCCCGAGTACCCTGAGTCACTCACCATTGTAATCACAGGTGTGTTGGGTACCATGTCCTGCTCCCTTCCCAAAATCTGCTTTCTCCACCACTCCCTGGGCTCCCACCCTGACTGGTTCTTGACTTCAGAGTGGTGGGATGCAGAGACACCCCCATAACCCACAGCACGGCCCTGCACGTAGGCACAAAGCCAGCTGCTGACTTGCAGCCATATGAGACCCAAACCACAGAGCAGTGACAAACCAGGCTCCCCACAACCCCAAATTGCCTGGGGACCTCTGGGGATGCAGAGCCCAGCAAAGCAACCCAGTGGTTACTTCTGCAGGAGGTGTTCATGAGAACATGAAGCCATCCCAGAGCTCCCAAACAGGAATGAGTTTTCATTCGAATTATCCTTTTCCAGCACAGTAGGACTCAGAGCCTCAAACAGGCAGCAAAATTCCCTCTGCTCTGATCCTCCACAAACCAGGAGATGTCGACACGTGGGCATTATTCCTGCACCACCCTCCCTGCACTCCCGAGGAGGTTAATAGAGTATCAGACCCGGGATTTGCACGGGCCTCTTTGCAAATACTTAAAAGCTACTGTTCACATCGCAGGGAGGTCAGCGGCTCTTTAAATCATTACTCGCTGGGATTACTCCCCTTACAGGCTCCTCTGTAGTTTTTAATTCATTTGAGCTGCTCTTTAGCAGCAGAGCCACTCGTTTCGACAGCAGAGCAGTGAGTGCAGAGGCTTATAGGAAGCTTTCTATTAAAAATTCATCGCAAACTCTCAGGAGCTCGGCACTCAGTAGGGCCACGCGGGTGTCTGGATCTATTTTGTAGCTCAGGGAAGGGGATCTGAGAGCAGCATGCAGGGAGGGAGCGTGCTATTCATTCATAAATCAAACAACAGATGCTGGGGCCAATGGGGTGCACGATGGTGACAATTTTTAACCCCTGAGTGTCGCTGCCAAAACGGGCTCCCAGGGGGCAGTTGTGGGCGCTGGAGGCAGAGGTTCCTGCGGGAGGAAGCCGTGGGGCCCGGGGGAAGAAATTAGGGGAAATTGGGGGGAGTGGGGGGAGAAAAGGCAGCGGCTGCCCCAGACATAAATCAGGGGAAGCCTTTGCTTGGGCAAGGGACCAGCTGCCAGAGTGGCCTGATGACGACTCCAGCAGGGCTGCACTGGGCTCTGCTCAGAGGCTGCCATGCCCTGGGGTCGGGCAATACCTGCAGTGGGGGGCCCTGCTCAGCACCCACTTCCCAGGGCATGGCTACAGCTTGAGGTTGGATCCTGAGCTGGGACATCCATTAACCCCATGGGAGCTGTGGTTACCCACCTTACTGTGGGCACGCAGCCCCAGCACCCAAGATCCTCACTTGGGGCAGCAAGAGGATGAGGAGGAGAAGGAGGAGGAGGATGAGGAGGGCTTTGACAAGAGTTTCAGATCCTGGCACAAAATGCTGCGAACAGGGAAAATCAGTTTGAGATTCCCACCTGGTTGCCTGGGGCCAGGTTTCATTCACCATCATTTGGATGCCTAGGAAAGGCTATGGATGCAGAACCTGCAGCTGGCACTCCATGCAGCCTTGGGGCCTACCTGTTCTCCCAGTTCTCCCCATTTTGTGCATACCAGTACGTTTTGTCACCAGCCCTCACGTCAATGAGCATCCCCAGGGGGACACCCCACACATGTGCACGCCCACACCTGCATCCTTGGCCACTCACAGACCAGGGAGAATCAGAGTGATGCCACTGACACTGGGGAATTGCATTTTCCCAGGGGGATTCGGGACCCCCCCCCAATTCCCCAGCACCAGCTCTGGGTGTAGCCCCAATAACTCGGGATGAGCCGGGGCTTTCAAAAGCTGCGAAGTGACCTGGGAGCACGAGTGGCACTGACGTGAATCCTGCGGTTCTGGAGTCACGAAAGTGCCGCTCTTCGCGATCCTCCTCTCCCCACAGCAGCTCGGCAGTGAGGAGCATGTTCAGGGCTCACATCCTCCGTGCTATTGATAGCACGGCCGCGCTTTTCGGAGCGTGGGTCCCATCTGCCACTTCCACTCCTTTTTTTAAAAGATCCTAATGACTGTCAGATCCTTTTAGTTCTTAATTAATTTCAGAGTTCAACTGCAAATAGGAAACAAGGCAGCTTTTGCCCTTACGCATATGAATATTACTGTTCCATTTAATGTGGTTACGGGTGGAATGCTGTTATTCATTCCTGCCTGCAATAAAAGCCACATGTTTTTAAAACTTTGCACTTGAAAAAACTTTTAGGAAAGAAATCAAGTATGTTTTGTATGCATGGCATGAGATAAAAACTAGTCATAAATATTCAAAGAACAGTTAGAGCTTTATGCTTGATTTAAACAAGTGAACAGAGAAGTCCGACGGTTGGAGTAAGTGGAGAATGAAAGCCCAACGCTCCTTTAAGAATGTGCTTATGCAGAGAAAAGGAACTATTCATGCAAAGGTTATGGAGCACCTAAGGACATCCCATCACCTCCAAAAATGCCCAAAGGTGGAGAGCACAACTGGAAACGCTGGGCTTTGTTCAGAGCTGTTGGAGTTCATGGGGGTTTCTCTTTGGGGGTTTCGGAGGAGTTTCAGGGGGATGCGATGCCGCCTGCCAGATCCTACGGGGAATGGGGACTCTTTTTGCTGGAGACACCTCCAATGTGTCCATTCCCCACAGTGGAAGGCAGGTGGGTGAAGTCGTGGTGACTGTTTCATGGGGCTCCTGGGACCCCCTGGATGGAGCTTCCCTAGAGCCCAGTGCAGCCAAAACCCCACGGGGAGAGATGGAATACCAGGCCCTTGGATAGTGCCTGTCCCACGGTGGTGCTGAACCTCCAAACCCCGAAACGCGACGAGGAGGGGGGGGAGAAATAATTAAAAAAAAAAAAAAAAATTCCAAAGGAAAGAAAAAGGGGAAACGTCTGGATGGCGAAAAGAGGAACCGAGAGGCACATGACGGCGAGAAAAGCACAACGGACGCAGAAAAAACACGTTTGTGATTTCTAACTGCAAGGAGAGGCA